CACTTTGGGACCTGAGGTGGGTAGGTCACCTGAGGTCAGGAGTTCAAGACCAACCTGGCCAACATGGTGAAACCCATGTCTCTACAAAAATATAAAATTAGCTGAGCGTGGTGGCGGGCGGCTATAATCCCAGCTACTCGGGAGGCTGAGGCAGGAGAATCCGCTTGACTCTGGGAGGCGGAGGTGGTAGTGAGCTGGATCACGCCACTGTACTCCAGCCTGGCAATAGAACGAGACTCCGTCTCAAAAAAAAAAAATAGAGGCCTAGGCGGAAGGATTGCCTGAGCTCAGAAGTTTGAGAACAGCCTGGCAGTGCATCATGATACCATCTCTACAGTAAATTTAAAAAATTAGCTGGTCATGGTGGCATACACCTGTAGTCCCAGTTACTTGGGAGGCTGAGGCAGGAGGATAGCTTGAGCCCAGGAGTTCAGGTTGCAGTAAGCTGTGATTGTGTCACTGCACTCCACCCTGGGTGATGGGAGGAGACTGTATCTCAAAAAAAAAAAAAAAAACCAAAAAAATACAGGATATTGACTTTTGGGGGAGATGGGTGTTGTAATTGGGAAGGAATATAATTATGAGGGGTTTCTGGGGTGTCTGGCAAGACTCAATTTCCTGACATAGGTGGAGATTTTATGGTTGTTCACTTTATAATAATTGATTAGGTTGTACTTTATGGCCTTTGTTTTATATGGTAAACAAATACGAATACAAGGATAAACATTTTCTTCCACTTTTTTCCCCATAGGAGACTATAAATATTCAGGAAGAGATAGTTTGATTTTTTTGGTTGATGCCTCCAAGGCTATGTTTGAATCTCAGAGTGAAGATGAGTTGACACCTTTTGACATGAGCATCCAGGTAAGACTACCTTTTAGTTTAAGACAAATTTAAAAACAGTATCGACTGGGCATGGTGGCTCATGCCTGTAATCTCTATATGGGAGGCCGAGACGGGGAGATCACTTGAGCCTAGGAGTTTGAGACCACCCTGGTAACATGGAGAAACCCCGTCTCTACAGAAAATACACAAATCATCCAGGTGTAGTGGTGCACACCTGTAGTCCTAGCTGCTAGGGAGGCCGAGGCAAGAGGATTGCTTGAGCCCAGGAGATCAAGGCTGCAGTGAGCTGGGACTGTGCTGCTCATTGTACTCCAGCATAGGTAAGACAGCAAGACTCTGTCTCAAAAAACAAAAAAAAACACCACAAAAAAGAAGTAGGCGCCGCCTCTTGCAGAGATGAGAGTATAAAGGAGGAAAGGAAGTTCCGGCAGTTACAGTGTGGAAAAGAGTGAGTGATACTTGGGAGTTGACTGCTACCTGTGGTTGGGGAAGATGGCTACAATAAAAAGGCAACTTCAATTTTAAAACAGGCACAGGACTTGAAAAGACATTTCTCCTGCCGGGCGTGGTGGCTCGTGTCTGTAATCCCAGCACTTTGGGAGGCGAAGGCGGGCGGATCATGAGGTCAGGAGTTGGAGACCAGGTTGGCCAACATGGTGAAACCTCGTCTCTGCTAATAATGCAAAAATAATTAGCCAGACAGGGTGGTGCACTTCTGTAGTCCCAGGTACTCAGGAGGCTAAGGCAGGAGAATCTCTTAAACCCGGGAGATGGAGGTTGCAGTGAGCTGAGATTGCACCGCTGCACTCCAGCTTGGGCAACAGAGTGAGACTCTTGTCTCAAAGAAAAAAAAATAGACAGGACATTTCTCCAAAGATACGCAGATGTCCAACAAGCACAGGAAAAGATACTCAGCATGTTTAGTCATTAGAGAAAGGCAAATGAAAATCATAATGAACTATCACTCATACCCACTATATAAACAAACTAAAATTTAAAAAACACCAGCAGAAAATAAGAGGTGTTGGCAAGGTTGTGGAGAAATGGGTGTGATTGACTGTGCCTGATCTGTTTTTGTTTCTTTAGAGGTTGTGTTTCATGTAACATAAAATTAACCATTTGAAAGTATACAATTCAATGACACATTCACAATGTTATGCAGACACCACCTCTATCTTATTCCAAAACATTTCAAATGGCTAAACAGTGGCGTATGGATATACATTCCATGAAAAAGAATGAAGAATTGATACGTACTACAAAGTAGATGAACCTTGAAAGCATTATGCTAAGTGAAAGAAGCCAGATACAAAAAGTCAAATATTGTATGATTTCATTTGCATGAAATATCCAGAATAGGTAAGTTCTTAATGCAGAGTGGTGGTTGGTTACCTGAGGCACAGGGAAGAGATGAACGGGGAGCAACTGCTTAGTGGGTACTGGGTTTGCTTTTGGGGTGATGAAAACTTTTTGGAACTAGAGTTGGTAGTTGCACAACATTGTGAATGTTTGTGTGTGTATTTATTTATTTTTATTTTTATTATTTTTTTGAGACGGAGTCTCACTCTGTCGCTCAGGCTGGAGTGCAGTGGCGCGATCTCTGCTCACTGCAAACTCTGCCTTCCGGGTTCACGCCAATCTCCTACCTTAGCCTCCGGAGTAGCTGGGACTGCAGGCGCCTGCCACCATGCCTGGCTAATTTTTTGCATTTTTAGTAGAGACGGGGTTTCACCGTGTTAGCCAGGATGGTCTTGATCTCCTGAACTCGTGATCTGCCCGCCTCGGCCTCCCAGAGTGCTGGGATTACAGGCTTGAGCCACTGCGCCCAGCCTTGTGTGTGTATTTATGCTTTTTAAAAATTTTTATTTATTTATTTTTGAGATAGAGTCTTGCTTGGTCGCCAGGCTGGAGTGCAGTGGTGCAATTTTGGCTCACTGCAACCTCCGACTCCCTGGTTCAGGCGATTCTCCTGCCTTAGCCGCTCGAGTAGCTGAGATTACAGGCATGCGTCACCATGCCCAGCTAATTTTTGTATTTTTAGTAGAAGTGGAGTTTCACCATATTGGCCAGGATGATCTCGGACCGCTGACCTTGTGATCTGCTCGCCTCGGCCTTTCAAAGTGCTAGGATTGCAGGCGTGAGGCACTGCACCTGGCCTTGCTTTTTTTTTCAAGATGGTATCCCATTATTGCTCAGGCTGGTTTGGAACTCCTGAGCTCAAGCAATCCACCCACCTCAGCCTCCTGAGTGGCTGGGATTAAGACGTGTGCCACTATGCCTGGCACATTGTGAATGTATTAAATACCTTTTAATTGTTTGCTTAGAAATGATTCTTTTTTATCTAAATTTCAGCTTAATTAAAAAGATTACTGCTTCTTTTGTGTACTTCATAGAGAGGAATTTTCACAGATTTATTATATATCTCATGCCTCATAATTTTAGAATTTGGAACTGAACAGAAACTTTTCATGTTCTAATTTGTGTACAAATAGTTCTTGTAGGCAGGGTGTGGTGGCTCACGCCTGTAATCCCAGCACTTTGGGAGGCTGAGGTGAGCAAATCATGTGAGGTCAGGAGTTCGAGACCAGCTTGGCCAACATGGTGAAACTCTACTCAAAATCAAAAATTAGCCGGGCATGGTAGTGCAGGCCTGTAGTCCCAGCTATTCGGGAGGCTGAGGTAGGAGAATTGCTTGAACTCTGGAGGTGGAGGTTGCAGTGAGCCAGGATCGCGCCACTGCACTCCAGCCTGGGTGACAGAGAGAGACTCCATCTTAAGAAAAAAAAGAAATTGTTCTTGTAGTTGGCAAACCAGAGTATCTTGCATTTTTTCCGTTAAACTGGAAATTACTTGATGTCTTTTTTGTTTTTTTTCGAGATGGGAGCTCTCGCTCTGCTTCGCCCAGGACTGCGAGTGCAGTGGCCGCGAAATCTC